AGCTTGTCAGTGTAAGTGTTTTTATTTATGCCATTTATGTTTTTGTTAATACAGCGTATAGCACTAGTCAACTAAATGAATGTAACATGGCAAAGATGAATGCACTTTTGGAAGTTGAATGTAAGGGAAATGTCATTTTGGAATTTCTGTGGTTTAATGTGATATTGTTGTTCATGATGAAATTTTCTTTTATTGCTGTAATTAATTTGTAGCATTAACAAGATGACCCGTTGAATTCTTTTTGGAGCTATGACTGATTGAATGTATTTTTAGTCCAGTGCCTGTATATAAGATTAGTATTGACCAAGTTCAGAGGCTGTCATATGTGGATCAACTTACTATGTTGTGTATTTTCGACAGTTTCAATATGAAAAATAACTTTTGTATTGATTCAATGGATTGATTTTGGAAGAAAGAAAAAAACGTGTCATGGATTTATTGCATTTTGGGGAAAAAATAATAAAATGTTATAATAAATCTTTGAAAATCAAAATCTGGATTTGAATTTTTAATGTTATTATAACCTAAAGATGCTATGTGAAAGTTTGAAACAGAAAATAGTGGTTTTCATCTTGCCACTTTCTTGGTAAAGAAAACACATTTTTACTCAAATTAATCAAAATGGATTTATAGCGTTTTGGAACCAAACTCTTCAAATGTAGAGTAGGACCCCAAATTTTATCCGGAAAGTGATTAAGTGCTTCAGTGTTACTGGTTATTGTAATTTTTCCCTGACCCAGTACTGTAAATTATTACATTTTGATTATTATTATTTTTTTAATAATGTCACTGACATCCAAGATGTTGATGAATTTGTTTCTTCATCAGAACAGATTTGGAGAAATGTATGTATCATTACATCACCTGCTCACCAAAGGATCCTCTGCAGTGAATGGGTGCCGTCAGAATGAGAGTCCAAACAGCTGATAAAAACATCACAATAATCCAAACACGACTCCAGTTCATCAGTTATCATCTTGTGAAGTGAAAAGCTGCATGTTTGTAAGAAACAAATCCCTCATTAAGGCATTTTTAACCATTGCTTCTGGATAAAATACGAGTCCTCTTTCCATAATACTGCTGCAAAACAAGCAAAAACAGTCAAAAATGGTTCTAAACAAATATTTTGGTGGATTTATTGACTTTTTCAGGGAAGCGTTATTATGGACATGTATTTTGGCCACACAGCTTTTCTTTTACTTGTGGATTATTGTGATGTTTTTATCAGCTGTTTGGACTCTCATTCTGACGGCACCCATTCACTGCAGAGGATCCATTGGTGAGCAAGTGATGTAATGATAAATTTCTGATTAAGAAACAAACTCATCTACATCTTGGATGGCCTGAGAGTGAGTAAAATTGCAGCAAATTTTCATTTTTAGGTGAACTATTCCTGGTATATTTAAATAAAAGGCAAATTTTCACGTTGACTTCAATGCAAAATCCATATACAAACACTCAAACTAGGTTCACAAGTGGCAAACACTGTAATCACAAGTAATTCCCTGTAATCTCCCTCCATCAGCGGATCATCCCCTTCACTGACTGCTGAGGCATCTGACACTGAAACACAAGCATTGCTGCCCTCAATGTCATTCATTCATGCTGACTGAACATCTCCATAGAGAGCGGGTTCGCTTCAGTCCAAACAGCCCTAAATAAACACGCATATCATTCAAACGATGAGATAAGAAAAATACATATATAGATATGCCTAAAAATATGCCACAATCAGTTTCTCCATTGAACTCTCTCTATGGGCCTGAGCTACACCATGTTCAGTGTGACTCAATCCACCTGAGTCCTTAATAGGATCACCAAGCAAACATGTTTTGTTGACAGGACCAAGTGCTGCCACCTTTATTTGGCCCGAGACAAACACTGTCCGCAGTGAGGACTAACATGAGGGTTTAATTCATATAACACAATCTTTGACTGGAAAATACAACTTAAAACACAGATTATGTATGTGTGCATAAACCAAATTAGTAAACTGTAGAGAATGCTCATTTTACTTTGCCAAAAGTAATTTCTTAAAAAGAGGACAGAGGGCAGCATGTTCACCCAATTCATCTTCCCCCAACTGAGTAAACAAAAAAAATGTCTCTAAATACGCAGTCAGAAGAACATAGACAGTTAAACATTCATCACTAGAACACCAGAACAACCACATTCCTCAACTTTAGTATGTGGCAATGAATTAATGTGAACCTTAAAGTGCCCCTATTATGGGTAATGAAAGGTTCATATTTTGGTTTTGGGAGTCCCCAACATCAGGTTGACATGCATGCATGGTCAAAAAACACTTTCATTGTCTTATAATATGCATTTATTTTTACCTTACTTGCTCAACGACTCCCAAACGATTTGCTCAACGATAAATTTTTCCAAACCCCTCCTTTGCGTGACGCTAATCTGCGGTGATTGGTCCGATTGGTCTCATTTTCATTTCATCATGCCTGTAATGCCTGATAAAGCAGCGTTTGTGAGCGCAGTGCTGCTTTGTGTACAGCGTTACCGGGGAAAACGCTATTTTACCACTCCAAAAGCGGCATCTAGTGGCAAAGAAAAGACCAACAAGTGGGCGGGCAATATGCTAATGTTTCATGTTGACGTCAACATGAAACGGCTTGGGATTCGTTTTAAAAACGACTAGTTTCAATGATTCAGAGCCAACTCTTTCTTTTGAGAGACAATAACTTTATACACGGTGCACTTTCAGATTTAAAACTTTGCAGGATGTTTTCATTCACTTAGAGCTGTGTTACACACTGCATGAAAGGTAATTTTCAAAAATCCATAATAGGGGCACTTTAATTTCTTAATCAATCTGAAATTTGATGCATGTCATTTTTCAATGCTAAAACACTTTATCTGGTCCCAGTTTATGCAGAGAAAAGTAGAAGCAATTTGCAGCTTGATTTTTATGTAAAGTGTTTTTAAAACATCAACCAGTAGAGATGCACAATATTGGCTAATGTGTGCTTTTTTCTTTTCTTCTTCTTTTTTTTTTTCATGGTATTAGCAATATTTTAAGATTTCGCTCAATAATCTAGCACTAAATTGAAAGGATAGCAAGAAAGCATGGATTTTAAAGGTTTAACATTTTAAAAGCTGTAGCGTCTGGACCAATCAGACACACCATTTTTCATTTGACTTGAATATTAAAGCATGAATCTCTTGAAGAACGATTTCACATTAAAAACACAAGTTGGCATGAGTTGTTGTGTGCATGTAATGATCCGAACAGTTTATTAAAGTTTTTTATATGTTTAATTGTATTTTTTAGAAAACTACTATAGATTTATAATACCACCATTTATTGGGGATTCTCTATTTAAAAAATTTAAAAAAGATATTGTCATTGTGTGTCATGTGTATTAATAATAATAATTTTAGCTCAGTCCATATGCAGTTTCTTTTTTATCTTTATAGTGCTATTGACTACTAGAGCACCAAATAACAATTTTATAGCAAACTTTATTTTAAGACAAGGATTCCCAACTTTTATGTCAGCCAAACCCCTTTGACCTAAAATATTTAAGCATGTCCTGAGATTTTAAGCGAATATTTCAATAACTTAACACATTTGCATGTTAACGGTTCTCTGATGTTGTTCAATGTCACATGACATACAGGTAAACAATTAAACATGACAATTTTTAGTAAGTGTCGATCGTTTAATTTATAATTAGCTTTTCAGAAACTCACAAACCCTCTGCAGTTCCCTCACGAACCCCAATTCATAAACCCAGTTTTAGGAGATGTGTGTAACAAAAACTTTTTTTTTCAGCAGAAAAAGGGTCAAGGGGTCACAGTTGGGATGCAGTTGGCTATAACATCACAGATCTAAGGGCCTAATATTACGCTCACCTGGACACACAGCCTGAAGGGTGGCATGGCTGACCTTCAGTGTGCTGGTAAGATGTCTCTGAGCAGAGCCAGTGAACAACAGGAAGAACTGCACCTCCCCCTGTTCTCCTTCACCGAGCGCCTCATCACAGAGCTGAACTGTTAGCACACACTCGCCCTGATACAGGAAAAGAGAGAAGTGTGAAACACAAAATTATGTGTTTATGAATAAGAATTTTAGGGCAAAAATCACAAACAAAATGCCAAAATGATCCAAGCCTCCACCCGTTCCAAAACCTTTTGATTGAATGATGTGTTCGTATTCTGCAAACTTGATCAGTAAACTACAGTTTGAAAAAACAAACAATACATTTCTACATTATTTGTTAGACACAAGGACTTGATGAATGTGAATGGTTTGCAAAAAGCTTACTATCCTTGCTTCTAAATGGAACCTTTCATATATTTTTAACCCAAGAACTCAGAGAACCAAAACTGAAGTTGTGGTTACAACAGGATATCACACTGGTGTTGGTCTGCACAGATTAGCACAGATAGCACTGTGTGAATTTAACAGCACACGCCCTGATGTTCTAGATGAGAAGCTTCCCTCTTCCTGTCACACTTTCACAAATTAACACACAGAAAAAAATACTATATCATTAATATTCAAACAACACGCTCAGAGGCCGATGGAACCACCACTGCAAAAGCCATTATCACAAATCAAGTTTCTAATTAGAATCAAAATGCATTTCCTATTTAAACAGGACAAACTGTACATGAAAATATCAGATGGAATAATGAAAAAATGAAGCATACTTCTATTCAGCAAGTATGCATGATTAAATTGACCAAAAGTGACAAAAATACATTAATATTGTTACAAAACTTTACTTTCTATTTGTCAGAGAATCCTGAAAAAAAAAAAGTATCACAGTTTCCACAAAAATTTTAAGCTGCTCAACAGTTTTCAACATTGATAATAATAATAAAATGTTTCTTGAGCAGCAAATCAGCAGCATATTTGAAAGAAGGATCATGTGACACTGGAGTAATGATGCTGAAAATTCAGCTTTACATCACAGGAATAAATAACATTTTTTAAATATATTCAAATAGAAAACAGTTATTTTAAGTTGTAATAATATTTCACAATATTACTGTTTTTACTGTATTTTTAAACAAATAAATGCAGCCCTTGTGAGCATAAGAGACTTCTTTCAAAAACGAAACAAAACAAAAAAATTCTATGGATAAAACACTCTAAAAAGTCACAAAGTCCCATTTGGATGTAATGGTGACTTTGAAGAAATAAAACTTTACTTTAAAGACCCATTGTAAAAAAAAAAAAAACATTTGACTGTAAAGAATGCAGAAACCAATGTTCCGATTTTAAGAACCTATATTGCAAAATTTAAATCTCCAAAACATTTAAGAACATAAATCTCCAATGAACTATAATTTAATCAACTCAAGAAACAGATAAAGCGGTCTTGATACGTAGAGGGTTCTTTGTTGAAACTTAAAGGGGTCATATGATGCGATTTCAATTTTTCCTTTCTCTTTGGAGTGTTACAAGCTCTTGGTGCATAAAGAAGATCTGTAAAGTTGCAAAGACTAAAGTCTCAAATCCAAAGAGATATTCTTTATAAAAGTTAATTAAGAGTCAGCCACACCCCCCTAAAATGGCTCGTTTTAACACGCCCCCACATATCTAC